TGTCTTAACGTTACGTAGAGACCTCGATCGCTTTCCATTTAAAAAATATTTTTTAGAACACAAAGTTGATAATAAAATAAGATTGAAATATGAAATGTAATTTTGAGGCGGATCTGCGCCGCGGGCCGCCGCGATTACGGCGTCCGTGCCAAACGAGTTTCAGAGCTTTTTTCGTTTTTTTTTTCAGTTTTTCAATCTCATGGTTTTAAACGTGCTAAAGAAGTTTCGTATTCTTTTTATTCGGTAAAAACATTTTCTATTACGGGAATGTACTGTGATTAATAATTCTACGTCATATGCGTTGACGTCATAATATTCGCTGAGGTTTTAGAATCGAATTAAAAATCCAAATAAAGAGTATGCATTGTCAGTCGACGTGACCTAAAGGATAAGACGTCTGGTGCATTCGTGTTGAGCGATGCACCGGTGTTCGAATCCCAGGCGGGTACCAATTTTTCTAATGAAATACGTACTCAGCAAATGTTCACGATTGACTTCCACGGTGAAGGAATAACATCGTGTAATAAAAATCAAACCCGCAAAATTATAATTTGCGTAATTACTGGTGGTAGAACCTCTAGTGAGTCCGCACGGGTAGGTACCACCACCCTGCCTATTTCTACCGTGAAGCAATAATGCGTTTCGGTTTGAAGGGTGGGGCACCGTTGTAACTATACTTGAGACCTTAGAACTTATATCTCAAGGTGGGTGGCGCATTTACGTCATAGATGTCTATGGGCTCCAGTAACCACTTAACACCAGATGGGCTGTGAACTCGTCTACCCATCTAAGCCATAAAAAAAAAATCAAAATCTTCTAATAATTAAATTAAGAGTTACTACTATTTATTTATTTAGTTGTATCGACAAAGTGATCATCAATACAAAACATTGACAAATTGACAGTAAGTACATGGCAGATGACACCTCAATTATAGGTGCAATCGACAGTGCAATAGTTGAGAACATCACGAAATTAGAAAACTAAAAATACAATGAGTACCTAAATTCAAGAAATATGAAATCCAGAATAATACTTTGTCACTAAGCACCTTATTGTTTAATATCTACACTAAATAGAAACTAAAATTTGACTATATTTGTTTAATTATGATTAGGTATTTATCATATACTTAGGTCAATACATTCCGGCCGTCATAAAGAATATGAAACGATATAAATCGTCAAGACTGTTTTTAACCAACCGGTGTACACCTACGAAAGCTTATTGGTATTCTCTTACTCTTCTTCAAGCCGTGTCTACCTAATGCTGAGTGTAGGTCTCGTCGAATGCACCCCATTCTCTTCGGTCCCTTGCCTTTCTCATCCAGTCCCTACCAAGGTTCGCTTGGTGTCAATTTTAAACCGACATCCATCGTAGCATCGGATCGTAGCTTACGCGTAGCGAAGATATTTCGTAGAGCATCTTGACTCTACATCGGTCTACTGCTGTTTACAAAATCAACAATTTGTTGTATATGCAAACTATTTAATAATACTCGTAGGAGTTAAACTATAAAATTGCCGTTTTATTGTAATAGGTACTTCGAATTGACATAGAGCCTTCTTAGTTTGAAATGTTTGAGTTAAACTTTTTTTAAATGGTACCTATGAGGTTCTTTTTAAAAAAAATGTGCAGCATTCGATTATCGACTTTCAGTTGTTTTTTTTTATTCAGCTTAGACAAGAAAGATGGATTACACATTACTTGATTTTTCGTATCAATCTTCATATTCGACCTTACAAACCCGGTCTTGTTGCAGAAATAGGCAGTATGGTGGTACCTACCCGTGTCGACTTACAAAAAGCCTAATCGCTAGTAAAGGCGCAAATTCATTTTATTTGGTAAATTCATTCATAACGGATATATACCTAGTTCGTGAAGTGCTATAAGAATGTATTTATTTAGAAAACAAATTTTACACATTAGCGGGATTCGAACACATTAGACGTCTTATATTTTGAGTTATGATAATTTTTGAGGTTATGTGCGTTTTTCGGGCGAAAATCTATTAAAAATAAGACGCGCACTCCCTTCTATAGTTTATTTAGTGTTTATAACCGACTGAGTGAATTAAATTTGTTACTCCCCCTCTGTTTTTCAACATCATCTCACATCGATGACTTTTCTAGTGGATTCTGTAGTGGGTGCAACACATGCCACGTTTTGTGTGTTTACAATGTTGTTGGGGAGTTTACTATTAAGTTTTCAATATAGATTCGAGTATTTCTTTTCGATTTTAATAAAGTTTGATACATATTAAGTGGTAGTTGAAGGTATGGTTGTTAAATTTCTCAGAAGCTAACTAACTAAAAGCTTTAACTTAAAGACAATAGAATCTGTTTTCGAATGTTTCGATCTGATAGGTATATCTATAGGTATCTCGAGAGAGAGTGCTTTCTATAATGGTCATGTAATGCTGTCGCAATTTTGAGAATTCGCGAAACAAAAGGCTCAGATAAATGATATTGAGTAGGAGTGAAAAGTAATAGGTTAGTAGTAGGCGGTCAATTTATTTACATAATCAAATTAAAAAAAATGTGGATTAAAAAAAACGTATACAGTTTTATCTACAAAATGAAAACACAGAATTTACGAAATATTTTATTCAACTAAACATGTAAAAAAAACTTAATACAATATAATATACGTTAACCAAACTTATTGATAAAACAAGAAAATTAATTCAACAACAAATTAGTTACTTTCCAAAAACAATTAATTGTCAAGTACAAATTTAAATCTAAAACGTGTGTAGTGATGTAAGTTTTTACACAATAAAAACTAAAGTTTATAGACAGTAATTAGTCATGTATTTATTCAAACAAATGAAGTGAAAAATAGCCATAGCTTTGCACTTCACACATTTCTGCTGTATGGAAATCCGCCGGAAATGCCGACTTTTCAAGCAGTATTGATTTTAATGTCTTTATTTAAAAAGTTTTTGTTGGTTTATTGTATTGCTTTCCAAGACTCAAGCTCAAGGTCACCGATGCTCTCAAAGATGCCAAAAAACACATCCAAGTCTTACAGAACAGTCTACAGAACGCAAATATAATTCTCATATAAAATTTCAGCGGACCTTCTTGAAAGAAAATTTGACTGAAATACCTTTGTTTTTAGGTATTTCACATATGTGTAATTCAATGTTTGTATATTTTACGGAATTCCATACAACCATTTGCAATTATCCCACAGGGGCGAAAAAAATAATAATTATTGAGTGCTCGTAACCTGAAAGTCATTAACTGCATATTTTTTTATATATTGGTACTATAAAAGAATAGAGATAAATAGGTAACAACGAAAGGCCATGTTTTAAATTCTTGAAATAACCTTAAAACATACTAATATTATGTAAACAATAAATTATCTGGTAACCGAATCAAAACGAAAACGTGTTCTATATTTACACTGTCTTTATATACAATAACTACGCAACTATTAATAAGTTCGATTATATTAAGAATGATTTGTTAAACGAAATACACATTCTTAATCATATAAGCATTTACAGCAGTTATAACGGTACTAATTAAAAATAACGGGTTTCGAGTTATAAACAAAATGTAGTGCTTACTCTTTTCTATTTGCAGTGTAATGACAATTATTCTACTGTTCATTATTATGGCATAACCAAACACCCAAAGTTAAAACTAAAGATAACCGATTAAAATCAGATTTATTTTGATATAACAATGTCGACTTAATTTCCTCATTGTGTAAATTACATTGTTGTGTTTTATTTAATATTCCGGTGCTTAGCTGCCTAAGGTTATAAAAGTGCCTAATAAGAGTCATATTTAATTAGTTTTTAGATGATTAAGAATGTGTTTTCAAATAGACATAGAATATTACTGCTTTGATTATGATTACATTTGGAAAAACTATCATTCCGAATTGTAAGATAATTTTTTTTAAGAGACTAAGATTAAGGTTTTATTCAGAACAGCGACGCTGTCCGCATTATCAAATAATCGCTGTATTAATACTCAGAATGACGTCTTAACTCAGTTGCACTGAGCTTAGTGTTGTCCTACTCTACCGATCTAGCACCGGTTCTTGAAAATCGGTAAATGTGTATTAATTACAAAATTGACATCATATTATCTAACTAATGCTGTTTCGTTTACATTTTATATTCTATGATATGTCAGCTATTCCATAGTAACATGGAGCTTAGGGTAATTTGACTACAATTTTATGTTGTGAGGCTTAATTATGAGGTGCTTCGTATAAGTAAAGAAGGAATTCAATTTCTCGGAATGCCGCACCCACAAATTACTGAACGTTAACACCACAGCCACAGAGTTCATAATTAATTTTAGTTTTAGACCGTTTCAATTCGTATTTCGATTATACAACGTTTGAATTAGTCGATTACGTATTATTAACTAAGGGCGCTTGTTTACTTCAACGCACGCTTTCATTCTATGTCCGATTTATTAATCAATGAATAACATACACTATTAACATTTTCTAAATTATTACGTATTAGTTAATGAAAACGGTTCAAAGTATTCTGATCTCTTTCACAACGATCATCCAGGGTATTTGCATTCATTGAGTGTAATTTATATTCAATGTTACACTATCATGATAATAAGAGTCGAATTGTCTTTTGATTGCACAATTTTACGTCAATTAATTAACAATCATAATCAACTTTACATCATATTGCACTAGGCTCAGTCTTATGCGCCGTCAGGTAAATCACTGTCAACTGTAGTTGCATAATCGACTTCACTTCATTATAGTCATTCATTCGGAATCACTTCATCATATTAACGCACTGAGCATACAGTACTACACGCTTTCCTGTGAAATGCACGTTCTGTCTACTTACTTGTACACTGAATGATCAACTTCCGTCAATAAAAGCACTAGGTTCAGTCTTACACGCTGTCGGGCGAGCTGCACTCCCTATCAACCTCCTGTACTGAAGTGGAGGGTCGCTCCCAATGCGAAGGCCAGGCCCTCGCTGGGAGCGCAACCGGCCTTCATATGACGTGTTGAGGAGGCTCTTCGTCGCTCTTCATGAGGACGTACGCTACTGGACGTTTGAGGTCGGCGGGGGGTGATGGGGTCCGACGTGGTGGACATCCGCAAGGGGACAGTGCACTATTGTAGAGAGCGCTGCTATACAGTGCTCCGCCGTATAGAGCCTAGAAAATTTCATTACTCGTTTAAGGAGAGTGTGAAGTGAGGGAATCTGAAGCTTAAGTAGGTCTACGTATAATTTCATAAATAAACGATGGAGTGGATTTTGGTTCAATTTCAAAACATAAAAACAATTAGCATTTGCCCAATTTGTGCATCTGAACTAGCAATCACTAAACTAGATACAACAATTCAATAAATTACTTTAAAATGAAGTAGTGTAATTACCTGTAAATGAGCTAATTCCGCAGCTAATTTTCCATCATCGGTCGGCAGTTTCGCGAACGGATAAAACGGATACGGTAGTGGTGGGAACAGCGCCCGGCTCAGATCCGGTTTTTCCGGTAATAAGTGATGTGGGACCGGTAATTGGGGTACGGGATGAGGCATAGAGGGCGTGACCAGCCGTGGCACGGGGGCCATTAGTCCATTGATGCCGAAGCCGAATTTCGGTTCTTTCTTTACAAGGGCTTTTGGTTTCCGTCGAGGGCGGTATTTGTAGTCCGGGTGTTCCTTCATGTGTAGAGCCCTGTGAAAAAAAATGGATTAGATGTAGTTGGAATTAGTCGTAGATTGTAGTGAGTGAGTGATGCAGTAGATTAATGAAAGATATTTGGTTTTCGGGACCTCTATGTACACGTCTCGTATGTGCTTCGGGAAACCAGTATTATCTTTAAAATCTCGATGGTCATTTCTTAAAGATTAAACTTGTAGAATACACGTGCATTTTAATTTTTTCCAGCGAATGTTACATGATCACCCTCTGTCTGACTTTTTGTTACTACTATTTTCTTCATCCATAATTATAGTTTTACTAACCTCATCTTTTTTTTTCTCTTACAAAATAGGTTATCTCAACAATGAATAATAAGTAAAACAAAACTACAGACAAATAATCGTAGTAGAATAAAAAATCAACAAAACATCACAATGCAATGCCTCTGCAATATAATAATATTATTTATGCAATAAAGCGTTCAATTGTGGACGTCGCGACGCCCTTAAAACAACAATGACGATTCAACAATGCACGGATTATTGCATTGTGACGATCGCGAATCGGTAACACGTGTCACCTCACTATGTCACAGTGTAACATAAAACCAAATCCTACTGTTTCGTTGTTTAGTTAAGGGCTATTTTGGTTTGTGCTTGAGTACGCTATAGGGCCTTTTTGCGTGTGAATAAATAGTGACTGCCCGATTATTCTGGCTTTGTGATCGTTTGGTTATTGTCAGCGAGTCGACTGTAATTATACGGTCGCGGTGTTGGACTGTGATGCATTTTGATTTGTGTCTCTTGTGTCCGATAGAACAATAGGATGCTGAGTTAGAACCTAACAACCGTTTTGATCTTTGATATTTAGTGAGGTTTATACAAGGCGTAGGGCAGGGTCAAGGAAACCGTTAAATGTTCATTTTCACTGGTGGCATGGCGTGTTCAGATAGGTTGAGCGTTGTGATGTTGGTACTTGAAATCGTGTGGATAGACAGCAATAACTTTTAATGATTGAGGGATTACTGGTGACCCGGAGGCCTTTCCAGTTTCACCAGGACAGGTGAGCGCGCAAGGACTCAGCTAGGAGGGGTGGGATATGCTAACAGCTACCCGAGCGCCTCCAAAGGAAACCTAAGAACTCAAGAGCTCTGAGTTGAACTCAACTAGAGCCGAAGGTGTCTAATGCCAGGGTTATTGGATCTGATGTATCCGTAGGACGTGTCTAGGGCATCGACGATGACTAGCTCCTATGTGATTAGGATTCGGGGAGTAGTCAGAGGCGGCAACGATAAGTCGATTACCATGACGAAAGTTAATGTAGTCAAAATACCTACGTCTCCATTAAGCATAAAATGACAATTCAATTCGTAAAATATACAAACGACATAATATTATCCTTATCAACACATATTTACACAAGAACATTGTCGCCATTGATCAGGAAACCTACAAAAAAATACAGAAAAAAAAAACAGGTCAATGACCGATGCAACGCTTCTATCAAATCATTCATACATACGACAATTTTAATAATACCTTTGCCATGGTACAAACGCTTCTCTGTGTGAGTTCTCGGCTTTTTGGTTATTGCAGTGCTCAAATAAATACGATAACAGAAGGAAAAATAATAATATCTCGAAGACGAGAAAAAAAACGTATCTTTTTATCGTTCGTTTTTTTTTTTCGGTGTATATTCGATTTGAGTTAATCGAATAACGTAAATAGTGATATCGGTATGATTCTCGATATGAACTAGCTTTGTGATGTGTCTGTCTTATTGTGTCAATATTATAAGCTTACAGTGTACTATTGGGTAAATAAATTAAAGGTAGAGTATAATTTACTATTGGATTCACCAGAGCATCGGCAGCAGCGTTCAATAGGTAACTATTGAGATTGAGAAGATATGATCGCCAAATGGCGTTGACTGGTAACACAAATTTCCCCCCTTGTATTGTAATTCCAAACGAGTAGATATTTTTTGCAAGTATTTCTGTGGCAAAGCGTTACGGTTTTGAGGGTAGATTCAACCTCATGTCTCAAAGTGCCTGGTGGATTCACGGTGGACTCATGGTGGATTCATGGTCTTCATAAATTTGGGTAATAAAAAATACAGTACTTAAGAAAAAATACATTCAAAATGGCGTCAACATTTACGCGCCAAATAAAACTATTTCACAAATCGATAAAGAAAGAACAACTCCGAATCATATCTAATACTTACGATATTATTTGAATACGGAACGATCGAACAAATACAGACAGATTATATCGAGAATCAAATAGAAAAAAAAATGATAAAGAAGTGTGTGCTGGTAAACAGAGGTGCGACCGGGGCATTGTCGTGACCGATAACTGACTGACTTTAGGAGAAACTCGTGGTATTTACCTGGGAATACGGCAGTTCTGACATTACAATGATTGACAAATTAACTAACATCTTTATTCTATTAGATCTTTTGATATTTATTAGGCAATAAAATGCGAGTACTCGATTGTGGTTCTGATTATGATGAATATCGATATATACGTGTTGATATTCAAATAAAATTACAGCAGCCAGCAACATTAAGGCCGGAAACATTAAATATCTTCAAACGATTGATTACAGAGAATTCTTTTTTCAATTATTGTAGGTATATATAAGTATATATAAATCAAACCCGCAACATTATAATTTACGTAATTACTGGTGGTAGGACCTCTTTGAGTCCGCGCGGGTAGGTAGCACCACCCTGCCTATTTCTACCGTGAAGCAGTAATGCGTTTCGGTTTGAAGGGTGGGGCAGCCGTTGTAACTATACTTGAGACCTTAGAACTTATATCTCAAGGTGTGTGGCGCATTTACGTTGTACATGTCTATGGGCTCCAGTAACCACATAACACCAAGTGGGCTGTGAGCTCGTCCACATATAAGCAGTAAAAATAAAGTAAATTAATAACCTATTCTTAAATTATCCATCTATAAATTTCACAATCTGACGCTTCACCAGATAATTTCGAACAATAAGTAAGTTAATATGATAAGATTGTTACAAATATGAGAGGCGGTGTGCACTGTGCACGCGACCAAAGGGCTGCTGTTAATAAATTCAACCCTTACAAACGAATACATACGAGAAGGATTGATAGAGAGCTCTTTTATGATGGCTGCTTTTGTTTTTGTGTGACAAAGATTTCTTGGATTCTGGATCTAATAGTCGAATTGTAACAAATTTTTGTTAATAAACCTAATATTTACAACTGTGCTTAGGATGTTTTAACTTTAGATTTTATTTACATAATATTTTTTTTTTTTATTAAATTCGTAATTGATAATTAAATTTATGGTACTTAATAGTTACGTTTTGATGGGAGACAATTCGATAAGCTTATTTGAATGTTAAGTGAGTTTCGATTATTTTTTTACGAAATGACACGATACGCAGGTCTGTAATCGGTTTTATTTATTTATTTTTAGAGCATAATTATTATCCGTCCACACAAAGGCCCACTAGGGAAGGTTTTTGCCATAATACAAGAGGAGTGCGACGAGTGACATAAAATCAACGTAAATATTTCACTCTTATAGGGAGAATCACAGCAGAGTGCTAGTTTTTTTAACGTATGCCCATGTTTGCCGCTAGGGGTGCTGTTTCAACTGTATACAAATTTGAGTTAACTTTCACGCCGAGAACGTTAAAAAACTCGCACTAAGCACACAGAACCAGTGGCCAAGTCTTACTAAGAAATAATAATAACAAGAGAACAAATATAAAGAGGTTTTATTTTTAGTAGTTAATTGATCTGTTCATGTTTATCATTTACTTATTAGAATTATAGACTATTTTTGAAATTAGGCAAATATGTAGAAACAAATTTTAAGAGTCACAAAAAAGCATTAAAAATTTCAAAAATTATTAATTTCACATCGTCTCAAAAGAAGAATCCAACTACACTATAAAACTATGAATACAAAACAGCTTCAACAGTTTTCGTTCAAAGAACTTCGACAAATAAAATCCGACCAATATAAATAAAAGCGTCGTAAATAAAACATCATAAATAAGAGTTGGTATAAACAGCTCCGTACTAAACTCGTCTTTTCGAGTTAGAAGCTCAAGCATAAGCTTATTTTTATAGCCCTGCCGACCCCCGATAACGCCCCCGTCCTCACAATGCACTGTGAATAAGACATTATACACTATGAATAACAGATAATTGTCTGCTCCCACGGGGTGGGGTCCGGGAATCATTTTGCAAAACGAGTGTGAAGATTTTCGGTCACGGCTTTGTGCCAATATTTACTAATTTACAGATACAGTATTTTATCCATTGACGACTGTTTTTTATTTTTTATTGTTTTGCTTAGATGGGTGGACGAGCTCACAGCCCACCTGTTGTTAAGTAGTTACTGAACCCCTTAGACATCTACAACGAAAATGCGCCACCCACTTTGAGATATAAGTTCTAAGGTCTCAGTATAGTTACAACGGCTGCCCCATCCTTCAAACCGTAACGCATTACTGCTTCAGGGCAGAAATAGGCAGGGTTGTGGTACCTACCCATGCGGACTCACAAGAGGTTCTACCGTCAGTAATTCACCAGTTCCAAGGTCGATGTTTTAATTTTATTAGGTAAGTATTCCAGCTGGTAATCAAACTTGGGTCCCGTGGTACTGGTGGCAGGGCCACTGACTACTAGGTCTATTATGCTTGTGGGAATAACGACGAAGGGAAGATCTTTCACTGAACGGCTAATATTGCTCGGTAGACCGAATTCGTATATATGCAAGCTTATCTTGAAAATCTTATAAGCGAGATTGAGGCATCTATCAAATATCTTTTGTTCTGTGACGGCTACCCGCCACAAGTTAAGTATGATCGTTACATCCGTCACATTTCTTAGACCCGCAGTCTGAGCCCACCCAATTAGCTCATCCCTTCCGCATCCCATTAAACCGTCAAACTCACGCAAGGGATTGTTTGAATTTTCAGTGCATTAAATTGCGTGTAGTGCAATAAAATAATTCACAAACTAAACTTTCATTCG